TGGCTGAGAAGTGCTTGCCTAGCAAGTTCAATGTCCTGAGTTTGATCCTCAACACCCAAAAAAAGAACAGGCAGAAAAAAAATATAATAAAACAAAGTGGGGCTGGGAATGTGGCTCAGTGGTAGAATATTTGCCTAGCATGCATAAAGCCCTAGGTTCGATTCCTCAGTACCACAGACACAGAAAAAGCCGCAAGTGGCGCTGTGGCTCAAGTGGTAGAGCACTAGCCTTGAGCCAAAGCAGCTCAGGGACAGTGTCCAGCCCCTGAGTTCAAACCCCAGAACTGTCCCCACCTCCAAAAACAAAGTCTCATGAACTCTCCTGCCTAGCCTGTCTTCGAAACATGATGCTCAGATCTCAGCCTGCTAAGTAGCTAGGATGAACAGGCGTAAATCATCCGTGCCTGGCTTCAGTACCCTGATTTGAACTCAGGGCCTGACATGTACCTGACTTTCTTGCTAAGCTGATGCTCTACCAATTAAGCCATGCCTCCGGCCTAGCTTTGTGCTAGTCATTTGGGAAAGAGTCTCAAAGACTTTTCGGTTTGTTCTTTCTTTTTTTTTTCTTTTTTGGTCTGGTCGTGGGGCCTGAACTCTGGGCCTGGGTGCTGTCCCTCAGCTCTTCAGCTCAAGGCGAGCGCTCTACCACTTGAGCCACAGCGCCACTTCCGGTTTTCTGAGTGGTTCATTGGAGATAAGAGTCTCACCAACTTTCCTTGCATGGGCTGGCTTTGAACTATGATCCTCAGATCTCAGCCTCCTGAGTAGCTAGGATGACAGGTGTGAGCCACTAGCACCAGGCTCAAGGACTTTTCTAATCAGGGCTGGCCTCAGAACGGTGATCCTACATATTTTAGCTTCCTGGGTAGTTAGGATTCTAGGTGTGAGTCAGAGATGGAAACACAATGTGAACCTGGTCTTGAAGAGAGTGGGGGGAAAGGGGGTAAGCAGAGGGAGGGGGGCTCTTGTCTCACCTGATTTTTCCCTCCCTTAGCCTCTCGGGAAGAACCAGACAAACATTCCAGGGTTGGGTCTGGAAGTCTGGTGGCAGCCTCCCTCCTTCATGGGACAGAATATCCTTTGAGGATAGAGAAGCTGCCATTCTAGTTCATTTGTAGCCATGAAAATCCTAAGAGGGCTTGGTTCAGGACAATGTTGACTCCACAATATCAAAAAAGGAACACAAACATGGACTGGATGCTACTGACTCACGCCTGGCATCCTAGCTACTCAGGAGGCTGCGATCTGACGATCCTGGTTCAAAGCCAGCCTGGGCAGGAAAGTCCGTGAGACTCTGATCTCCAATCAACCACTCAGAAAACCGGAAGTGGTGCTGTGGCTCAAGCGGTAGAGCGCTGGCCTTGAGCTGAAGAGCTGAGGGACAGCGCCCAGGCCCAGAGTTCAAGCCCCACAACTGATTAAAAAAAAAAAAAAGAAAGAAAGAAATCCTGGCATTATGGCAGCTTGCTGGATCGTGAAGACACCTTGTTCTGGGATAGCTGTCTTGGCAGCACCACCACCAAACCTGCCCTTTGAGCAGCAAAGGGCAAACCGGTCATCTGCCTCGCTGGGCAGCAGAGTCAAACCAGTTTGTCTGGACCAGGGAAGCTTGGAGCCTGGGGCCATTTATGGCTTCCAGGGCTGGAATTGACCACAACATTGTAGCTTGGATACTGTTATTCCCTCTGTGTGTGTGTGTGTGTGTGTGTGTGTGTGTGTGTGATTTTTTCTTCCTCCCTCTTCTGAGGAAACAGTTGGGAAATATTAGCCATCTTCCCCTTTCTGTTTTAGGCAGCCAGGGCGGAGCTGGGGGGGTTGGGAATCGTGAAAGAACATAGAGTGGATGTTTTCTTTCTCAGATGAAAGACAGCAGGAAATACGCCAACCTAAGAATCACAGGAAGGCCCGCGTGGACTCTGACCTGTTGTACTTCTTTGGCTCACCTGGGAGTCAAACCAAACACGAAAAGACCTTTCCCCTAGGCTGGAGGCCTGGGAGGAAGGGGAAGAGGGATGAACTCTCCCTGAGATTGTCCAGGCCACGGGCAGAAGCAGGAAGTGGAGGCCCTGGCCAGTACCCTAGATTTGTCTTTGTAGGAGACACAGCTGGCCACTCCCTCAGGACCGCAAGTCTACCCCAGAGCAATCCATTGTCAATCCACTTTTACTATACATACATGTATGCATCTGTCAATTGATGCATTCATCTATCCACTCATCCATGTATTTATCCATCTATCTATTCATGCATCCATCTGTCCATGCATGTATACATGCATCATCCATCCATTCATGCAGGTATGCATCTATCCATGCATTCATTCACCTATCCATGCATCTATCCGTGCATGCACACATTTATCCACGTATGTGCGTGTATTTATCCATGCATCCACACATGCATCTACTCACCCATCCACGCATGCATCTATCTATCCTTGCACCTGTCCATCCATGTATGGATCCATGCATCTAGTCATCTATCCATCCATCCACACATGCATCTATCCATCCATCCATTTATACATGCATCTATCCATCCATCCATTTATACATGCATGCCTCCATCCATCCATTTATACATGCATCTATCCATCCATCCATTTACACATGCATGCCTCCATCTAGCTATCCATCCATCCATCTATCCATCCATCCATACATACATACATCTAGCTATCCATCCATCTATCCGTGCACACATGCATCCATTAATGCATTCACCCATCTATCCATGCATCTATCCATCCATCCATCTAGCTATCCATGCATGCATCTATCCATCCATGCATCTATTCATGTATGCATCTATCCATTAATGTATGAATCCATCCATTCATCCATCCATCCATCCATGCATCTACCCATCTATCTATGCATCCATGCATGCATGCATCCATCCTTCCCTGTCTTGGCCACTGGTAGCACTTGGTGCGGGGCTGATGGTAGAATCTGGTCCTATAGGTGTTGGGATCTGGGCCACAGTAGGGCAGGATGGGGTGCTGTACACATGGGGCACAGTGGTTAGGAAGGGAGCTGATAGTTGGCTTTGGGCCTGGCCTCCACACTGCCACTCATTCTAATTAACATGCCATTGGCTGTACCAGGGCAAGAAAGAGGAAGGACTCAGGGCAGAGCACCAGCAGCTGTATTCTAGCTCCGCTGTTTGTCTCTGATTGTCTTGCAACAAGCTGGCTTTGAACCATGATTCTCCGATCTTCAGCCTCCTCTTGAGCAGAATAGCTAGAATGGCAGATGAGAGCCCCCAGTACCCAGCTTTATTTTATTTTGCCAGTCCTGGGGCTTGAACTCAGGGCCTAGGTACTGTCCCTGAGCTTCTTTTGCTCAAGGCCAGCGCTCTACCACTTGAGTCACAGCGCCACTTCCGATTTTCTGGTGGTTCATTGGGGATCACAGGCTCACAGACTTTCCTGCCCAGGCTGGCTTTGAACCACAATCCTCAGATCTCAGCCTCCTGAGTAGCTAGGATGACAGGTGTGAGCCACCAGCGCCCAGTCCCAGCTTTATTTGCTTAAACCGTACGAAAGGCCCATGGAAATTTCCACATACGCTTTTCTCCCAGTAACTCTTCACCCAGTGTGTCAGGCTTGTGAATATTGTTGGAAAGGCCTTGTGACGTGGCAGCTTGCCATTGGACTTGCTTTTTTGTTTGTTAATGGTACCAGGCCTGAACACAGGACTTCACAGATACTTGGTAAGTACTCTGGTGAATGAGGATCCCGCAACCTTTGCCTTTTCAGATAGGTAAGGTGTTCACTTTGCTCCACTCACCTTGAACTTCTCCTGAGTAGCCGGGATTACAGGAGTAGACTTGTTTGCTCAAGGCTACGTATAAACATGCCAGTCCCTGGGCTTGAACTCAAGAGCCTGGGTGCTGTCCTTTAGCTTTTTTTTGTTGTGGTTGTTGGTTGTGGGGCTTGAACTCTGGGCCTGGGCACTCTCCTTCAGCTCTTTAGCTCAAGGCAAGTGCTCTACCACTTGAGCCACAGAGCCACTTCTGGTTTTCTGGTGGTTCAATGGAGATCTGAGTCTCACGGACTTTCCTGCCCAGGCTGGCTTTGAACCATGATCCTCAGATCTCAGCCTCCTGAGTAGTGAGGATTATAGGGCTCAGCCACCCGTGCCTGGCTAAACTCCTTATTTCTAAGCATCTTCCGTCTACTTTCTGCAGCTGTGGCCTGTGTTTGCCTAACCCCGTGAGGCAGGGAGGGAGAGGCGCATGGGGGGGGGGGCAGACATTTTGACCTGCAGACTCTGCCTCACAAAAGAAGTGTGTGTGGGGGTTCCTTCCCAGCATCCAAACACTGTCCCCACCCGAAGCAAGCCCTCACCAATCCCAGTTGGAGGTGGAGGATGTTCCAGGCATGGGAATGTGAGGGACAATGGAAAGTTCTGGAAGGAGGCTGGGAACACTGAGCAGGAAGAACCATTTCCTGGCTCCCAGATGATGTGATTTCCATTCCACCACTGGCTGCCTTCATGAGTGGGTTTTATCTGATGGGAACAAAGCTCGGTGGAGGACTGAGTCTTTCTCAATACCATTCCCCAAAAGGCAAATGACCCAGATCATCTTAACCAACAAACCGAGTGTAGTGGCTCATGCCTGTAATCCCAGCCACCCCATGCATGTAACTCCTCAGCTCCAGCTGCTTGGCGTTTCTTTGGCCCACTTGTTCTCTGGTAGGCTTGGAGGGGGAGAATCACCTTTCAATTCTAGTGGTGCTGCGCCTGCCTGGCAAGTGCCAGGTCCTGAGTTCAAATCTCAGTACCACCAGAAAGGAATAATAGGAATTTACAAAACTGAATTAAAGTAAAACCAGATGCAGGGGAGGGGGGACCATATTGCAGGGGTGCCACAGGCTGCTCTGGGCTCTGGAAGGGGGTCCTGGCACCCCAGTGGGTCTGGGTATTCATATACACCCCCATAATAATAATACCATCATTGCTTTCTCATTCAGTAGGCAAGAGCAGCAAACATCCATCACTTAAACAAGAATTTATTTCCAGGACTATGTTATTAACTATAGATTAAAATTTAATATAATTTAATTCACATATAAAGACAACTGTGGGGACTGTGGGGATATGATAATGGCCTGGGGTCAGGTGGGATAGGAGGGTGGGGGGGGAGGTCAGGGTCAGGCCTGGGCAGATACCATCTTGCTCATGCCTGAGAAATAGGCTTTCTCTCGTTCACTCATCACTTCGAAATGCAATGGTCTCCTGCAGAAGTTGCACTCGGCCGAGGAATGTGGCTTGAGTTCCAGGCCTACTCGCTTCCACGTGGCCAGCAGGTTCTCTGTGAGGAGAGACAGGGCTGCAGTGTTACAGGGAATAATATTTCCTGCACCTGTGACCTGCACCAGGGTCATGGTAATGTTACGTCCTAAACCAAACACTGGTAGCGCAGTCTTGTAATCCCAGCCACGCAGGAGGCTGAGATCGGAAGATCACTGAAGTTTGAAGCCAACCTGAACAGACAGATCTATGAGATTTTTTTTTTGTCAGTCGTGGGGCTTGAACTCAGGGCCTGGGCGCTGTCCCTCAGCTCTTCAGCTCAAGGCGAGCGCTCTACCACTTGAGCCACAGCGCCACTTCCGGCTTTTTCTGCTTATGTGGTGCTGAGGAATCGAACCCAGGGCCTCATGCATGTGAGGCAAGCACTCTACCACTGAGCCACCTTCCCAGCCCCTCTGGGTCTTAACCACTGGGAATAAGAAACTCATCTAATGGCCTCTAAGGGCGCCATGGGCCTCCTGTCCCCAAGAGACCTCTGCTACTAGACTCTGCAGAACTCACCCAGGAAGTAGTTCATCATCTGCGGTGTGTGGTGGGGTGTAGGGGCGATGCGCAGAAGCTCATCTCCTCGTGGCACCGTGGGGTAGTTGATGGCTTGGACGTAGATGTTATGCCTGCTCATGAGCTCATCACAGACTTGGGTGTTTTTAGCTGCGTTGGCGACCTGAATTGAAAGGCAGCAGGAGAAAAGATCAGAACAAGATTAAGACCAAGGGCTGGGAAGGTGGCTTAGTGGTAGAGCGCTTGCCTAGCATGAATGAAGCCCTGGGTTCGATTCCTCAGTACCACAGACACAGAAAAAACTGGAAGTGGCGCTGTGGCTCAAGGGGTAGAGCGTTCGCCTTGAGCAAAGAGAAGTTCAGGGACAGTGTCCAGGTCCTGAGTTCAAGACCCAGGACTGGCAAGATCAACATCAATATTGCCAGGTGCAGGAGGCTGAGATCTGAGGATTGCAGTACAAAGGCAGCCCAGGCAGAAAAGTCCACAAGACTCTTCTCTCCAATGAACCACCAAAAAATCGGAAATGGAGCTGTGGCTCAAAATGGCAGAGCATTACCCTTGAGTTAACTTTATTGAAGGAGGGCACTGGTGGCTCCCGCCTGTAATCCTAGCTACTAAAGAGGAAGAGATCTGCACAGTTCAAAGCCAGCCCGGACAGGAAAGTCTGTGAGACTCTTATTTCCAATGAACCACTCACAAAACCGCAAGTGGCGCTGTGGCTCAAGTGGTAGAGCGCTAGCCTTGAGCTGAAGAGCTGAGGGACAGCGCCCAGGCCCAGAGTTCAAGCCCCACGACTGACAAAAAAAGAAACAAAAAAAAAAATACCAGTATTGGACAGCTGTTAGGCTGTGAGTTCAAACCCCAGTCCTGGCACACAAACACAACAACTAAGCTACACTATGCTCAGGCTTCTGGAGTGTTCTGGGGCCTAGCTGTGTGGTGCAAGTCGGTGTTTGGGGAAAGGCTGGACTGTCACGATGCCCTGTCCCCCGTCCTGTCCCCCTCGTCCCGCAGACCTTACCCGCACGGGGATGATGTGGCTGGGGCAGTGGATGACCGGCAGGCCGGCATCCATCAGCATCTGCCTCATGAGTTTGACATTGCGCTGGTGTTGGCGGCGTAGTGTCCGGCCCTCGGCGCTCTTCAGGACCCGCACGGACTCCAGGGCTCCAGCCAGCAACATGGGTGGCAGCGACGTGGTGAAGATGAATCCGGCCGCGTACGAGCGCACCGTGTCGATCAGAGAGCGGGTGCTGGCGATGTACCCCCCCACGCAGCCGAACGCTTTGCCTGCGGGGAGACAGCGGTAGGGTAGGTTCAAAGCCAGCCTGGGCAGGAAAGTCCCGGCGACTCTCATCTCCAAAGAACTACCAAAAAGCCAGAAGTGGCGCTGTGGCTCGCGTGGTAGAGCGCTAGCCATGAGCACAAGAGCTCAGGGACAGCGGCCAGGCCCTGAGTTCAAGCCCCAGGAGTGGCACAAAGGAAGAAAACTGAACCTGTTCAGAGTTGGTCTTGAGCTACAGTTGTTTTTCACTTCTAGAATGTGTATCTCGGGTTTCAAGAGGAATGACTGAAGAAATTCAAGAGATTCCCACACGATCGTCTCTAGTGATCAATTCATGTAGGCCCAAGTGGAAAATTCATCCCAGCCTTTTTGAGCAAAGTGCCAGAGCCATATAAGCCTCAGCTTTTTTTTTTGTCAGACGTGGGGCTTGAACTCTGAGCCTGGGCACTGTCCCTCAGCTCTTCAGCTCAAGGCGAGCGCTCTACCACTTGAGCCACAGCGCCACTTCCAATTTTCTGGTGGTTCATTGGAGATAAAGAGTCTCATGGGCTTTCCTGCCTGGGCTGGCTTTGAACCACGATCCTCAGATCTCAGCCTCCTGAGTAGCTAGGATGACAGGTGTGAGCCACCAGCGCCTTTTTACATTTCTTTAGGGGTTCTAACAGGCCGAGGCGATGTCTAGAGTAATGATGTACAGATGACTCATTTAATTATCTTCTTAATGAGAATTCACATGTAGACCTTTTTAGTTTAAGAGGACAATCAGAGACTTTTATCCCAGCCTGTCAAGTTAGAGCCACAGCTACGTCTAAAACCAGCTAGACAGCCCTAAGTTACTACTGTCATTTCATTCCAAGAGGTTCTGCTTAGGCTGGCCTAACCACTCACTGGGGCATAAAAATCCACCCCAAGAGAGCCGGGCGCTGGTGGCTCACGCCTGTCATCCTGGATACTCAGGAGGCTGAGATCTGAGGATCGTGGTTCAAAGCCAGCCTGGGCAGGAACGTCCAGGAGACTCTGATCTCCAACGAACCACCAGAAAACCCCAAGTGGTGCTGTGGCTCAAAGTGCTCAAAGAGCACTAACTAGCCTTGAGCAGAAAAACTCAGGGACAGCATCCAGGCCCTGAATTCAAGCCTCAAGACCAATCAAAAAAAGAAAAAAAGAAAGAAAAATTCACCCAAAGACAAAGAGGCCTGGGCTTACGGTCCCTGAACAAGATGGCGATCAGAACGGCGTGTCCTTGGCTGTGCAAAGAGAACAAACTATACTCACCAAGCGTTCCGGAAATGATGTCCATTTTTGGCATAACTCCATCCCGGTCGCCGATTCCTCCACCTCGAGCTCCGTACAGCCCCACCGCATGGACCTCATCCACAAAGGTGATCGCTCCAAACTCATGGGCCACATCGCACAGTTCTTCCAAGGGACACACTGCACCTGAGGGAAGACCAAATGTCATATCCCAGGGGCTGGGAAGGTGGCTCAGTGGTAGGGCGCTCGCCTTGCATGCATGAAGCCCTGGGTTCGAGTCCTCAGCACCACATACACAGACAAAGCCGAAATTGGCACTATGGCTTAAATGGTGGAGTGCTAGCCTTGAGTAAAAGAAGCTCAGGCTGGGCGCTGGTGGCTCATGCCTGTAATCCTAGCTACTTAGGAGGCTGAGATCTGAGGATCCCAGTTCAAAGCCAGCCTGGGCAGGAAAGTCCGTGAGACGCTTATCTCCAATAAACCACTCAAGAAAACTGGAAGTGTTGCAGTGGCTTACCATCCATTGAGTGTACAGTCTCGAACGCAACGATCTTGGGGACCGAGGGGTCGGACCTCTGCAGCAGTTCTTTGAGATGGCTGACGTCATTGTGCCGGAAGATGTACTTTGGCACGCGGCTGTTCCGGATTCCTTGGATCATGGAGGCATGGTTCCCAGAATCCGAGTAAATCTCGCAGCCTGATGTGAGGAAAAGCTATTTTATTGCCATCTGCATCAAAGACAACTGACTTTTCTTGACTGAGACAACAGACCTTTTTCCTGACAGTACTGCCTTGAATAATAAAAAGGTTCACTAATAAAAAAAGCTTTCTTGCTGGATGCCGGTGGCTCACGCCTGTCATCCTAGCTACTCAGGAGGCTGAGATCTGAGGATCGTGGTCCAAAGCCAGCCTGGGCAGGAAAGGCCATGAGACTCTGATCTCCAATAAACCACCAGAAAACTGAAAGTGGTGCTGTGGCTCTAGTGGTAGAGCGCTCGCCTTGAGCCAAAGAAGCTCAGGCCCTGAGTTCAAGCCCCAGGACTGCCACAATAAATAAATAAATAAATAAAAGGGATATGCACCCAGACAAGATCATTACTCTGATCTCTGAGGTGGTATTTGGCACTCATGATCAGTCACCATAAAGAATCCCAAGCCCCCCGAGACAATCATATACCAGGCTTCCTTACCTGGCATCATCTTGGCCAGGGTGAAGAGGGTAGAGTCATTGGCCACGAAGCAGGAGGAGAACAAGAGGGCCGCGTCTTTGCCATGGAGGTCGGCCAGCTCCTGCTCCAGGTCCACGTGGAACTTACTTGTTCCAGAAATATTCCGAGTGCCACCTGCTCCAGCACCATGTTGCTTCAAAGTCTCCCTGTTGGGAAAAAAAAAAAAACACAAAAAACTCCAACTCATGGTTCTGAACGGGTGAATGGCTCCGCTGTGTAGGATAGAGAAGACTGCAAACGGGCATGGTCCAGCCCCGCTCACTGTGAGACAGGAGGGCAGGAATGGCCGCTTACTTCAGCGTCAGGCTGAGTAGAGGAACCACCACCTACAGGAGAGGAATCTCTAGGGACCAGCAAGATCGAGAGCTTAGAAGGGGCTGGGAAGGTGGCTCAGCGGTAAGAGTGCTTGCCTCCCATGCATGAGGTCCTGGGTTCGATTCCTCAGCATCATGTAAGCAGAAAAGACCAGAAGTGGTGCTGTGGCTCAAGTGGTAGAGTGCTAGCCTTGAGCTGAAGAGCTGAGGGACAGCACCCAGGCCCAGAGTTCAAGCCCCATGACTGACCAAAAAAAAAGACTTTTTTTTTTCATAGACTTTCCTGCCTGGGCTGGCTTTGAACATCGATCTTCAAATCTCAGCCTCCTTAGTAGCTAGAATGATAGGCGTGAGCCACTGGTGCCCAACTTCAATTGTCTTTTTATTTTATTTAATTTTATTTATTTATTTTTTGCCAGTCAGGGCCTGGGCACTGTCCCTGAGCTGCTTTTGCTCAAGGCTAATGCTCTACCATTGGAGCCACAGCACCACTTCTGGCCTTTTCTGTGTGTGTGGTACTGAGGAATCGAACCCAGGGCTTCATGCATGCTAGGCAAGCACTCTACCACTAAGTCATCTTCCCAGTCCTCAAATGTATTTTTTTTGTCGGTTGTGGGGCTTGAACTCTAAGCCTGTGCACTGTCCCTGAACTCTTCAGCGCAAGGTGAGCACAGAGCCACTTTTCAGTTTTCTGGTGGTTCACTGGAGATAAGAGTCTCACAAACTTTCCTGCCTGGGCTGGCCTTGAACCATGATCCTCAGCTCTCAACCTCCTGAGTAGCTAGGATGACAGGCGTGAGCCACCGGTGGCCGGCAATCATCTCTTTAACACATCCCATTTAGTAGCTTTTCCTGAGACAGCTTACAGTTGTCTTTCTCTACCTACAGCCACAACCACAGACATCTGTACAAGGCTGCATATTGTTCAAGCACATTCATGGTGTACTGAGGGACGGGAAATGACGCACTTCATCACACGCACTCTACCACTAAGCCACCTTTCCCAGCCCTGCGATTGCACACTTTCCTTGCTCAATATAACCTCCATAAAAGAGCCAACCCATATAAATCATCCATGCCTTGCCACACCATGCTAGTTATATGTGAAAGCTAAGCGCTACTTACACAACTGCCCCACACACCCGTGGGTGGCGACTCATGCCTAGATAATCATTACTGCACCACACCGACACCTGCTTCTTGGTAATCAGGGAATCCGAGTAGTCGTCTGCCATGGGGAAGATGTGTGCCCTCCGGTTCACCGTCTTAAAAACCCGATAGGTGTGGTCATTTTTCTTCTCATCGATTTTCTTCTCAAAGAAACGATCATACTGAAAAGTGGAAATGGCTAAAAACCAAACAAAAGCCAGTAGGGGTGATTATTGGGGAAGGATGAGCCTAAGTTTAATTTTTTGCTTTGCCATTTCCTAGCAGGGTGAGTCTAGGGGAGTTTCTTTTCTTTCTTTCTTTCTTTCTTTTTTCTTCTTTGCTAGTCCTGGGACTTAAACTCAGGGCCTGGGCACTGTCTCTGAGCTTCTTTTGCTCAAGGCTAGCACTCTACCAACTTGAGCCAATGTGTCCGGTTTTCTGGTGGTTAACTGGAGATAAGAGTCTCACAGACTTTTCTGCCCAGGCTGGCTTTGAACTATGATCCTCAGATCTCAGCCTCCTGAGTAGCTAGAATTACAGGTCTAAGCCACCAGCACCTGGCTCTCTCTCCCTCTTTGTTGTTTTGTTTCCTTTCAGGCTCTTGTGCTCTTGTTTATTTTTCTTGCTCATGGCTGGCACTCTACCACTTGAACCATACCTCCAGCCTGGAGTCTTCAGTCATTTTCTGCCCTAACTGGCTCTTCACACCTCAGCCTCCTGAGATGCTAGGATTATATAGGCATGAGCCACTGGAGCCTGGCTTTAGACTAGTTTCTTGATGTCCTCATATTACATGTGTCAAGTACCTGGCACAAGGCCCAGTATGTAGGCCATCAGTATTAAAAGAAAAGGCTCAGGGTTGGAGGCGTGGCTCAGATGGAAGAGCACCAGGCAATGAGCAAAAAGCATTAGGCACCAAGTTCAAGTCTTGGACCAAAAAAAAAAAAAAAAAGAGAAAGGCCAGCTATCTAGGGCAGTCACCGAGACTTCAGCGCACCTGCTTGGTAAAGCAGGGGGCGTGGTTTCAAGTTAACTCACAATGAATCTTCTATTTAATTGGATGAACGCTTCAGTGACAGCCTATCACCTGCCTCAAGCAAGGAACAGGGAGACTCACTCTTGGGCAAGTTGTCCTGGAGGAGGTGAGACACTCTTTCTGGCCTTTGCTTTCGCATCAGATCTTGAAAGTTCTTCAACAGCCCACTCGGATCCTCTCCCTCACTCTTCACCGAGACCACATCAGTGTTCACGGAGGCTTGCTCAACTTCTGTAACCAAAATAACAGGAGGCAAATGAGATGGACGTTCTATTCTGAGTTCACAATACCTTCCAGGCAGGGGGTCAAAAATAGCTCATTAGCAGCCTCAAGGAGCCAGCGGCCTTGCCAGTCCTATTTGTAAATGGTCATCATATAGACACATAGCTACATCTCCATAGGGATCCCAGACAGCTCGCTTGCGCTTTCTACTGAAAATACATGTTGTACTCACTCTGAGATCAAATAATAAATGTATGCATTGAAATAAAGCTGAGTGCCGGGCACTGGTGGCTCATGCCTGTCAGCCTAGCTACTCAGGAGGGCTGAGATCTGAGGATCATGGTTCAAAGCCAGCCTGGGCAAGAAAGTCCATAAGACTCTTCTCTCCAGTGAACCACCAGAAAACCAGAAGTGGCGCTGTGGCTCAAGTGGTAGAGTGCTAGCCTTGAGCTGAAGAGCTGAGGGACAGCGCCCAGGCCCAGAGTTCA